CCACCGGCAGGCAATCCACCCACTCTGGCAAGTATTTCATCTTGAACGCCACCGAGTGGAAATATACCGTCCTCCTTCTGAATTCTTCGACCTCGATTCTCTTTCTTCTCAGATCTTGAGATTGAACGAATTTTTTCCTTTGCAATTTAATGGATGTTAAATCACGAAAGAATCTTGTTCCCCGAGAATTGAACTGCTCTATGCATGATTTGATTGGCTCGTGTAAAAGACGACGATCGACAGGATTTGTAAAAACATGATATGAAATTTTGTACAAAAATAAATTGAGAATCTAATATTGAGAATTTAATATATAAAATTAGTTTTTTCGAAGATAAATGATATTAAAAATTATTAAAAATATATTTTATTTTATGCATATTTAATTTGTTTTGTTCAATTTAGATTTTTTTGTCTATTTAAATCTTAATAACTTATCCATATATAAATGATAAAACACATTTTTTTATAAAAATTCATATCGATGTTTAATATATGATATTTTACGTAATGTAATAGACGAACTTGCGTAATTGAATAAGAAAATAAATGACAAAACGCATAAAATACACATATAATGCAAGTAATATATTCCGAATATGATAATATCGAATCCCTGTCATAAAATGGTATTACTCATAAGTGATTAAAGGGTTATTGGCTCATACATTTTAATCGTAAACATTTACATTTCAAATAACACTGCTTTCCTCTTTAATGAAGCAACAGTTTCAATTGAATTATTTTATTCCATAATGTATTATTTTTATTAAAAAGCAAATTAATTTATATAAATTGAATATAATTTATAAAAATGAATATTAATATATAAATATTAACATATATCAGTCAAAGTATACATATATATTATACTTTTAATTGATATATATTATATATTGTTAATTGACTGGTAATCTTCTAGGAATAACCTGCAACAGTATGACGCAATTAGTCGGCGAAGGTGCCACACCACTTTTAGGCACTAATGAAGCTTTATTAGCCGAAATTAAACGTCTTCGAGAACGTCTAGTTTGTTTGGAGTCTGAAAATGCTGCGATGAGTGCTAAACTGAATCAACAACAATGGGAAGTAGAAAATCGATTGGCCGAAATCGAGATGCAGATTTGCGGTGCTAGCTCGTCTTCCAGTTTAGAAGATAACAATGAAAGAAATCGAGAAAGTATCATTTAACAAGAAACAAGGCCGCGAGAGCGCGGCAAAACAAAAATAGGGCGAATACGACATTATTTGTCTGAAACTACGGATGATAGGTAAAGTATTTTGCTAAGTATGTGAATGCATAAATAAATAATATTAAAATAATTATTTTGGAACGATTTTTCTGATCTTCTTTCATATGTATAAATTTTTTTTATTATAGATATACAGCAGATGATCGAGAAGAATTTGAAGAAGCTAGAATCTCTGGAAGATCTAGTGATACGAAATCAATAGGTAGCCTCAGTCAACATTTCTTTGAAAGTGACGAAGACGAGAAATATTATGGTACTTGTAATGGTTATGTTTCTCAGCCTGGCAGTAAATCAAACTTATTGCTATGCAGTGAATGTGATCAGAAAACTCGTACCTGCACATACAGACCACAAACACCTGGTTCTTATAGTAGTAGATACGTCGAGGAACGTTTTGACGAGCGACTTCAAGAACCAGGAACTTCTCGCACATACAAAAGTCCAATCCATACATCTTCTCCTCGGTTAGTATATCATGATCAAGACTATAGTGGTCAATCATCTTCACCTAGATCAATTTATCGTGATCAAGAATATCAAACTCGAAGAGGTTGGTCAAAGAAATATGAACAAGAATTTGATCGAAGAGAGTATGAAGAAAGAGAATTAAAGCAGGATGATGACAGTCCTGTTTGTGAAGTTTGTCATGGAAATGGTCATATTGTTCAATGTGAACATTGCGATTTTTCTAGCGAAGGTGATTTAATATGTTTCCGATGCCAGAGTGATGAAGGTTCATCAAATGGTCAAAGTTGTCCTCGTTGTGAGAAAAATGAAAGAATATTATCAAGTAGATCGCAAAGAGGAACATCATCCAGCGATGAAGGAAAATACCCAGTAGATGCTGTAGTAAAAATACAAGTTAATGATCATATGATTGATGTAGATTCAGATGAGACACCTGAAAGTGACTTATCAAGTAGTCATCATCATCAAAGGAGTACAATGGAACGATTAGATACTATTGTTGAGGCAAAAGGAGACACTGCCAGTGAAAATGACGAGGAAAATGGGGGTACAAAGTTAAATGGAACTAGTAGTGCAAGATATCTCAATTATATGATTGTACTGTTTCTGTAAATAACATGGTTATGGTAGCTGCAGTTGAGCTATGGATTATGTTGGTAAATGGAGAGTGTTGTTTTGTTGAAGCTATCAATTAAAAAATAATTTTTAATCTTCATTATAAACTATTATAATACATTTCTTATTAAAAATATAATAGTGTTATGCTATATTGGATTTATAAACTAAAATTATATAATACAAATCTAATATTTCCTTCACTAATGTTAGACTAGTAATGAGATTATAAATAGTACAAGTAACAAATATTGATAAATATTTCTCAAAAAATTTTTTTATAATGCAATAAAAATTAGTTGAAACATTTTCAAAATAAATAAATAAATAAAAACCAAGGAAACATTAGATTGGAACATTTTACACTTTCTTATTATACTATTTCAAGTTCTCATATTATGTGTAAAATTTCTAAACGATTTATACTAAAAATTTTGGAAATCAACTTACTAATATTCAACAACGATACTCTTCATCTAAGTCGAAGCATTTTCAAAAGTATAACTTCGATGCACGAAAAAATCTATTGATTTTAACGTGTCATAACTTTTCAAAATGTTCCGTACACAGATTGCTTGACATCGAAATTTGTTGCCGTATGATATTTTCGGCGCCGTAGCTCAACTTGCATGTAAATAAACTGCCAAAGGAACATTCATCCGTATATCGTAGGGCCGTATAGGTTAATAGGTAACTCGTAATGTTTAAAATGCTATATGAGAGAATGAGAAAGAAAGAAAGATTCGAACGAAAGAGTGAAGAGAAGAAAGAGAGAGTGAAAGAGGGAGAGATATTATATTACGTTCGACACGCGCAGTGTTGCCATGAGCTGAGATCCGTAATGCAACGATCGACACGATTCCATGCGCGACTTTTAGAATAGGTTTGTGCAGAAATCGTGTTTATTTTAATTTATTGTTATTTTTATTGTTTCCTTTTCTTAAATTTTCTAAGAAAATTATATTAAATTTGATGTTTAGTTAAAAAAGTTTAATCATAGGAGAGATTTGATAATTAAATGAAAAAGAAATTAGTTTGTCTATTATATACTATTTACCACGTGCAATTATTAAAACAAATTGGATATATTAATTACAAATACATGGATTATATTTGCTTTGTAAGTATTTCAAAATATTTTAATTATCAACAGAGATTTGTACACAAACCTGACTAACTCATGTTCGGGACCAACTAAAGCCACCATCTGCATGATTGCTTCCGATTTCTGCTTTCATTTCCGCTCATTATTTTTCATATATTGTTTTCAATATTTATATACGGAATACGAGAGTAATATAAACGATTTCCATATGCATCTCGCTTATTGTAAAATTATTTTCATTTTAATGAATATTAAGTTAATTTCTTCCAATTAATAGAAGAAGTTTAGTACAAAAATAGTGCTAAAACTTTTCATAAAATAATTTACACGATGAAATTGAATCTTACTAATACACAGTCTCATTTTCTTACACATTTTTCCTTTCAATATACCAAAACCCAAATAGATAAAGACTACGGACGTGAATATAGTACTTACATATATATTTCGACCAGAATAAAAACATTCATAACGAGTCATATTATCATAATTGAGCTTTGAAAGTTCAATTCAGATGAATGATGATATAGAAATTCTTTGTCCTCGGATTAACGAACTATTATTCTTCGAGGATCTCAACGGGACCGAATTTTTCCAGGTATGAAGAATCGAAATGGGATCACAACTTCCCTCTCCTTTTTCCCTCACTTTTGACATAGATTTCATCGATAAAATTTGTTTAATTATTGCTAATGCAATTTCAACTATGTATCTTCTTTAAGAAAATAGAATTATTAAAATATTTAGAATTTTATAAATTTCTAGTCACGATTTTTGAAAATATGAATATTCGAAAATTAAAACTCTTATTGATATATATTTTTTTTCTTTTTTTTTTAAGAATTATTTTTCATTATTGATATTTATACATGACACATAGATGCTCATTAAATATTACAAATATTTAGTTGCGGGGGAAATGAACAGACTCGACCGTTTATATTATAGAAAAAAAAAAATAAAGATGAAAGCAGAATAAATCCTTTGAATTACAAAATACGAAACGATTTATAATAAGGATAGCGACTTTTTTAGTATTTATAAATCATTGAATAGATTTTAATAGTTAAATACATTTTTTTAACGTTCACTTTCCACTTTGTAAGTAAACCGCACATAATATCGCTTGGAACGAAAAAAAAAAAAAAAAAAACATTTCGATTTAACGAACGAAACCTGTAATTTCTAAAGACGGAAAAAAGAAAAGGAGGCAGAGAGAAAAAAAAATGCGCAGAGTATAATGCATAGTTATCTAGTTATCTTCGAATAGAAGGACGTATTTCAAGCGAAAGATTTTGCGGGATTCTAGACTTATATCATCTGTATGATATTCACGGCGATAGATATTATCAAGAATAGATCGCAAAGTCTAACGGAATAATTAGTAAGATATATCGATATCCAATAACCTAACCTTACCTTGAAGCAAAAATGTAATAACTCGAAGGGATAAAAAAATATACCAAAAATATAAAAACATTAAAATTTTCAAGTTGTGTGCAGAATATATTGAAAATTGAATGAGATTTTCTTTGTTTCCATTGTTATTAATTCACTTTTTACGAAAAATATTTATTCTCCATCACCGTAATAGAATTATTTTTATCTTTACGATCTTCGTTCTATATTCGTCGTATAATTTACTTTTCTGGTAAGTGAAACAACAAACAATAATATTTATATATATATAT